GGACCATCTGCCGCAAACCATTTGTGATAAGAGAAGGAAGACAGGACAACAGACATGCTGTGGAAGAGAGACGGAGTTTAATAACAAGTATGATTCAGTGCAGAGGGTCTATTAACACATAGTGAGTGAGAAAGGTGACTGAAGAAGAAACACTCAATGCATCATGGGAATCCCCCAGCAGCCTGAACCTATTGCAGCATTACTAAGGGAGGATTCAGGGTCACCTGATCCAGCCCTAACTATATGTTTTAGCAACAAGAAAAGTTTGAAGCCTAATCTTAAAAGTAGAGCTAGCGTCTGTCTCCTGAATCCAAACTGGAAGCTGGTTCCTCACATACCATTTTTAAATACTCTAGGAACCAGAGAGTGTTTGTAAAATTGTGTGTAAAATATCTATAACTGGTAAACTGTTTATATAATACTGAAACCCCAGCAGCTAGATCAATGGAGGAGTCAGCAATATATAAAATAGTGTCATCTGCATAAACATGTACACTCTGGAAGAGATAAAATTGCATGTGTACAATGTGAATAAACAAACCTTTGGCATTTAATCAGAAAGACTCATATTTTAAAAATACATAAATAAAATACAACACAATTTTAAATATACGTGTGACGCTTTCAGTGTCCTCATTTCCTCAGATAAAGTTTTCTGAGATTTTTATAGCCTACAAGTCAGGACAGCAGAGTGGTGTCCGAGCCACTCGTCTACCCTCCATCATGTCACTGTGTCTCCAGCAGCTGTCTCTTACTAATGGCCTCGACCTTTCGGCTCTTCCTTTATAACCCCACCATCATTATCACATCTCACTGTCACACCCCGAGCTGTACACTTTCTGTCTCTAGGGTTCAATTAACCTAATTGGACTTCATGACACTGATGGAGGGTGAAATTAGGTAAAATGATGACTCGGTAAAGATACATAATAATAATGATGATGTTTGTTATAATTGCCTATTAAGATTAAACAGAAGGGTGATTGTTACAGCGACAGTATGAATTCTGCTCGTATTAACTAGAAATACTTTGAGTACCCACATAATGTCTGTGAAACTTTCTATTAAAGAACTCTTTCACCTTTGGGGGCAACTAAATAGCTTTATTGTGCAAACAAAAATTAGGAATTTAAATTTAAGGACATCTGATATCCACTCTGATGCTAAAGTTTACACTAATCGTAATAAGAGAGCGCTTTATTTGTGAGTGTTGAGAGTGGAGGACAGTTATAGCGCTGTATGAAACTGCAGCCAGCAGGTGCTTAACTTAGCATTAGCACATAGACTGGTGTATGTGTCAATTAAACAAACAAAGGATAATATATTAAACAGTAAGCAGATACACGTGTAAGCAGTTTCTAGTTTACCTTAAAACAAATCTTTT